AGGTAGAGGAGTTTATTTATTCTCATACATCCTTCAGGTTAAATTAGAACCAAGACAATAATGGAAGGATGTAATCATTACTCTTTCTTATTGGGCTTCCAGAGATGTCTTGATCCAGACATAATGCTGTTGCACAGGTCTCAATATCCTTCCCGGGGTTTAGGCAGGTTTTAGAGACTCAGTTATGACCATGCAAAATTAACTATAATTAGACATATAAATGAGAAAAAAATGAGAACATAAGAAACCTAATCAGGACTATTTTTAACACATGAAGCTTCAAGATCTTAGCCGAGATGACGCAATGGTGGAAAAGTCAAATGACTGCTATTTGTTTAACACCATTCGGTTTACGACAATTGAACAAACCTAGCCTGCAAGCCTGAGCAAGACTCTTCCTAGCATTCCTGCAAAATGAAAGGTTCCAGTATTCACTGTCCAGCGAAAACTCACAAAGCTTCCTTCATGTTCATGTTCATGTTCAAAACCCAACAGTTTGAGTTTGTGTTAGTGGTGTTTCAAAATGTCTCACTCTCAGTCAACACCTGTGAAAGTTTTACAACAGCATGTCTGAATGCAAAACCCGCATCAGCTTGTGTGTGCACAGAACCTGTCTGGAGGCACACCAAGAAAACATCAACAGAGACTGTCTGACAGGGAGACAGAAGTGTAGGCTGTGAGTAGGGGGAGAGGAGGAGACTCTTCATTGGATACCCTCCCAGCATCTACTGTTTGAATGTCTTAGCATACACATGTGCTGCTTTTTTTAATCAAGAAACATCTGGGTACTTTTCAAAGGCCACAGTTAACTTAACGTCCTTTGCATTTTACATTGTAATTATTTAAAACATTAACCAGTGCTCCCAAGAAAGAACATGTCAAATTAAAAACCAGTGGCCTTTTATCACTCTCAAACTAAACTGGCTATCAAACAACATCGTAATCCCAAGAATCTTAAAGGAAACGAAGATTAGCACTACCTATGTTTTCAGAACAATATTCATATATGTCAAGCATTATATGTAAGTATGTATATATGTACACAGTCATTCATTTTAGAAACATTTTTTTCCTCCACATGCAACTCACTGTGCTGGAGTCTGTATGCATATCTACATGCATATGCATACATGCATACACCAGGGTAAGCCTGTGGATATGTGTGTAGAGGTACGTGGCTGCAACACATACTGTCCTAGGCTGCTACTCCATCAGGTTGGAAGACCTCACTAGTAATGGCAACCTGTCCAACCTAGTGATCCTTGGGAGACTCAAGATGCTTGAGCCAAGAACTGCTAATGCTTTCTTAACAATGACTGAGCTTTGAGCTAGTCCTAGGGCTTACCTCTCCCCCACGCTTTCCCAACTAACACACCTAAGGAGGGGAATCAAATGAGTATCCTGTCCTGAATTTTTATCTGGATCGTAATTGGAGACCAGGAGGCAATGCATTTAGCAGTTAAACGTAGCAGTTCTCACTCGGTAAATCCCTCCACTGCCTCTTCCCTTAGAATCAGGATACCTGAGCAGATGTCACTGATGAAGTTTAAGGTGTAACTGAACCATTTAGAATGGGGGGTGAGGGCAGGGAGGTTGAGGCTCCCTGGTCTCAACAACCTTTGGCCCTGACCTCAGGTGTTTATATATGAGAATGTTAACGGTTTGGGCAATAGTTTGGGTGTCTCCCAAGGGTCCATGCCCTGGCAGCTTCATCCCCAGCCTTGTGTTAGACTTGACCTAGTTATGGTGTCTGGACAGTAGGCCTGGGGAGAGGTCTTTAGGTAATTAGGAGCTGGCACTCAGAGAGCACTTCTCCTGAGGGTATGGTTACAATGCTGAGACTGGCCTACCCTCTTTGTCCACTTCCTGGCTTGCCATACGATCCTCCCCCCATGCCTGCCCCATCCACCACCTCATCAGACACCAGACCCAGGGAGCCACCTGATCCTGGACTGGGAACCACCAAAACTGGGCCAGAACAAACCTTCCTTCTCAAAAGGTCCCTCTCAGGTATTTGTCGTTGTACCAACTGGCTAATACACTAACTTATATGCACCTTCACACAGAACCAAGTATAAAATGCAGAATTCCTGATATTCAATATATCTTCTGAAATCTAAGCAATATTGTATTTAATGATCAATAATTCTAATCATAGCAAACAGAAAAAAATCAAAATTGTTTTTAAATTTGGTTTTTAAAATAATTTTTAAATTAAATTTTAAATTAAATGAATTTTTTTTTGACAGGCAGAGTTAGACAGTGAGAGAGAGAGACAGAGAGAAAGGTCTTCCTTCCATTGGTTCACCCCCCCAAATGGCTGTCATGGCTAGCGCTGTGCAGATCCAACGCCAGGAGCCAGGTGCTTCCTTCTGGTCTCCCATACAGGTGCAGGGCCCAAGCACTTGGGCCATCCTCCACTGCCTTCCCAGGCCACAGCAGAGAGCTAGACTGGAAGAGGAGCAACCAGGACAGAATCGGCGCCCCGACCGGGACTAGAACCTGGGGTGCTGGCGCCACAGGCAGAGGATTAGCCAAGTGAACCGCGGTGTCGGCCAAAGTAAATGAAATTTTAAAATTTTAACTTAAAAAATTTTTAAATTAATTTCTAAAATTAATTTCTCCAAAAACAAGGTTTGCCCAAACCACAGGCAACATCAAAATTAAAGAGTATAATCTCCAGCTTTACTTAGTTCATGAAGCCTACAAATTTTAGTGGCACTCCCAAAAAATCTGTTGACTTCCTCACTTCAATTCAGAGCAGTATAAATCGACTGGTTAATGTTGATATAATTATGAATGAATTTTTTAAAAAAAAAGATTTATTTATTTGAGAGGCAGAGTTACAGACAGAGAGAGAGAGAGACAGACACAGAGACAAAAATCTTCCATCTGCTGGTTCACTACCCAAATGGCCACAACAGCCAGAGAGGGCCCATCTGAAGCCCAAGAGCTTCTTCCAGGTCTGCCACGCAAGTGCAGGAGCACAAACACTTGGGCCATCTTCTACTGCTTTCCCAGGCCACAGCAGAGCTGGATGGGAAGTGCGGCAGCAGGGAATGCTGGTGCCACAGGCAGTGGCTTTACTCCCTATGCCACAGGGCAGGCTCCAAGTGTGTTTTTTTGTTTGTTTTTTAATTTGAGAGACTCAGAATGAGATGATAAAAAGAAAAAAGACTCCCATCTGCTGGTTCACTCCCCAGATGCCTGAGAGGGCCTGGATTAGACCAGGCCAAAGCCAGGAGCTGGGAAATCAACTCAGGTCTTCCATGTGGGTGGCAACACTCCAACAACTTAAGCCATCACTTGCTGCCGTCTAGGATCCACAGTAGCAGGAAGTTGAATTCAGGAGCCAAGGCTGGGTGTTGAATCCCAGCACTGTGATGTGACAAGCAGGCATCTTTAGTGCTGGGCAAAGGAATATGCCCCATGCATGGAACTGCGACAATTTCAGATATGTAACATATACCATTTTATAAAAACCTGCCAATTTAACAATTATTAACACTGTCTCATGAACCTTTAAAAAAAACATAAGATTTCCAGGGGTGGAACCCAGCACAGCAGTTAAGATGGTGCTTCAGCAACCTAGCATCCCGTATTGAAGCAGGTGGTGTGGGTCCTGGCCCTTCTGTTTCCAACTCAGCTTCCTGCTAATGTGCACCCTGAAAGGCAGCTGTCCCTGGATCAAATACTTGGGTCCCTGCCACCCATATGGGAAATCCAGACTGAGTTTCAGGCACATGGCCCAGGCATGGCTGTTGCAGAAATTTGGGGAGTGCACCAGCAGATGGAAGATCTGTGCCTGCATGTCTCTCTGCCTTTCAAGTAAATATATATTAAAAATAAATAAATTTTTTAAACTAAGATTTCAAGTGATAAAAATGCTATTAGGAAGTCCTCATCTTGCTTAGGCCTGATCGCCACATTCTTACTTTATTACAAATGCTAAAAATGTGACTATTAAAAAAAGTTACAAGATGTTCCCTTAAATACAACAGACTGACTCCTTGGTAGGTGTACTTGGTTAACAGTCACCTGTGTCTACCCCACACAATCATCTGAGAAAGTAAGGAAGGAGGCTACCGCAAACACCCATCCACACATATAATAAAAATGCCATCTCCGTAGGAGTCCATGGACCACAGGAAACAGTCTCCTAAAACAAGTGTAGAATGAATTCTACATTGATTTGTAAAAGAGGTCCCAAACCCAATGACTTTATTGGTTCCCTTTCAAATTCCTCCTTAAAAGTCTCCCACTAATAACAGACTCGCTGTGAAGCCTTTTTAACCATGATGCAAAACAGAATATGTTTTTTTAAAAAAAGCATTTAACATTCATAAGCATTTGTTTCATACACGGCCATCATCAAATTAAAACTCAACCTGGAGACCAAGCAGGCTGACAGCACTAGCTTCACAAACCAGAGCAACACCACATGCTCATTGCCGCCTAATATAAAAGAGGCCACTTTTCGTTATTAAAAAAAAAAATCGTGGGAGTATGAGCAAAATCTGCGCTCCACACTTCGCGGGAACTTGCGCCGAGCAGGACGCGCTTCCGCGGCAAGCCCCGTTCACCGCCCGCCGCAGGAGGCAGAGGCTCGGGCCAGCCCGGCGGTGTCAACACCCACTCAGCCTCCGAGGGGCCAGCCAGCCAGGGAAGGGCAGGCAGCGGCGGCCCCGAGGCTTCGGCTGCTCGCGCGCACCCTACCCAACCCTGCACGGCCGCGAGCGAAGAAAACAAACTCCAGCTCCCTGAGTGGGAACTCGCGACGCGCCCCAGCTTTTTCCCACGCTCCGCCTCTGCAAGCCCAGCCCCCGGAGCCCACCCTGTCCACCCCGGGGATCCCCTCCTCCGCGCAGCGACCCAGAGCCCTGGCCCCGCCTGGGGCCCGCCCCGACTCCGCCCCACTCCCCACGCTTGCCGGGTCGCCCCCGGCGCACCCCACGCCCGGCGCCCTCTCTCCGCCTCCCCGCCCGCCTGCCCCGCCTCACCTTGGTGCGGAGCTGCCCCGAAGTGGACACTTTGCGAATCAGTTTCTGAGGTCCTTCCTGCTCCGCTTCGCTGTCGGACGAGTCCTCTCCCGGCGCCGCCGACGCAGCGGCCGGGGTGACCGCGGCGCTGGCCGCGGCGGCTGCTCCTCCCGCGGCGCCCGGAGGGTGGTGCTGGCCGCCGGCCCCGGCCATCCTCTGCAACTCCTGCGGGGACACAGCACCGCCCGGCGAGGGCGGCGGCAGCGGTCAGCTGGTGGACTCGCTCGGCCCGAGCGGGGCCCTGAACCCCGCGCCCAGTCGCCGCCATCTTCTGCGCCCCTGGGTGCCCCCGCGGGGGAGTGGTCGCCGGGAACCAGACTCCCCCACTGGCAGGGGCCAGCCGGGCTCCTCCGCCCGGTTCCCATAGTGGACCCAGGAGGCCACCTGGACTCCCTGCGCAGCCAGCCTTGGGTGTCCTGGGGTCCGTGACTCGGAGTCCTGCCAGCACGGTGGGAGAGGGTGGCGTGGACAGGGGTCTGGGCCATGTCCCTCCCAATCTCCAGGGTCCGGGATTCCGCGGATACGGCAGGGACAGCTGGTCCCGCTGCCGCTGATCCTCCCACGCGTCTTGGCAGCGGGGGCCAGAAGAGCCCCTAGGGAAGGAAGGAAGGGAACTTGGGGCTTCCCCCACCCCGACTCCCTTGGGTGCAGCCCGCCACCCCCTGGACTCGAATCTCCCCCTAGACACTTGGGCCTCGCCGCAGGGTTCCAGCTGAATAGAAGTCCCCTCGGCCTCCGAGCTGGACGCGCGCCGCTCTGTTTGCCTCACGACCCCAGCCCCACTCCGGGGACCATACCTCGCCCGCCGGCGCGCGCGCGCGGGGCTCGAGTCCTTTCCGCGCGTGCGACCGCGTTGTCTGATTTGGGGCCCACCCCCACCCGGCGCACACGGAAGAGAGGAGCGCTTTTCCGGGAGGCTCAGCTCGGCTCTGAGAACTTTTCGTTCAGAAAGAGCGATCCCCTTTGGCTAAGAGGAATCTGGGAAGGGCGTGGAGGCAGCGCAGAAAGAAGAGCGCACGCCGCCCGAGAGGACGGCGTGCAAAGGCAGGGTCTAAGCTGCAGCGCTTACCGACACCGCCTGCAGGGAAACCCGGCGCTGGAAACCTGCGAACACCAGTGCCGGGGGCACCAGCAACACTCCAAGTCCCGGGAGAGCCACTCCCTACCCCGGCCCGGAGAGGAGGAAACTGCGTCGGCCGGCTGCAGCCCCTGCTCTCCGCCTCGCGCCAAGCGAGCTGGTTCAGCGGGCCCTGGGGAGAGCGGCCTCGCTGTGGGCTGTGCAAGCTCAACGCCGACGAACCCTTGCAAGGTGTGGGAGGACTGGGGGGAGAAGATGCTAACATGACGGAGTCCTTGTGTCATCTCAAGAGAGCTCCCAGCTGGTGTTAGCTGTGTTTTTAAACAGAGCCCGAAAGTGCCTCCCAGACTGTGGGGTCTCCGCCTGCATAAAACATTCCACCGCTTCAGCACGTCTATTCGTCTATGTCCCGGTCAGCCACCCCGCCGCCCCTTTCCTTTTCGTCTTTTTTTCAGTTGACCTTAAAGTCAACTGAAATGACCTTTAAGGTTTCTCCAAGCTGACATTCTACGTTGAAGTGCAATCTTAGAGAACCATAACTGGATTTCTGTGTTACGGCTGGCATTTTCAGAGGTTTTATGACACAGAATGCAATCCCAATACTGTGCATCAAGTTGTGGATTAAATTCAAAAAGTTGTAAAAGGTGCTGTTTACATCTGCAAAGACAGGAGATGCCCACCATGTACTATGAACCTGGAGGCGACTCCTCCAGCCTCAGCTGTCATCCCCAGGAAAGAAGGGAGTTAAGCGACATGAACCTTAAGAGCCCTTATGGCTTTTATAAATATGCAATTCTGTATCTGCAGAGATACTATTGGGAATTCATGGAAGAGAAAAATTACTAAAAATTAGTGGCCTTCATCCCCACCTAGCTATTTGGCCACCAACAAATCCAATGATTTGACTGTGTAGACAAGGACATGTGTTAAATGGGGTTTTTCTGAAAGAACAGGCTTAGTTTAAGCCTCTCTTTTAATGTAAAGAAACTGAGGCCCAAAACCACAAACCAGAGCCTGTGTCAAAACCATGATTCCTATTGTGCCGCTGTATTTGCGTTCCCATACCTTGCAACGTTAGTCAGTGTGTCAGCGATCCCGTACTTTCCACTCACACAGTGACATTCTCCAGAATCCACCCGCGCCTGGGGCCTACTGTGTACAGAACTAAATTTCCCACTCCTTGGTTCAAACCCTGACTGCTTAAAGATACTTTAGATCAGTTGCACATCCAAATGCAGGGCAACGAACACCTCCCAGTAGAAGTATTCTGTTACTTATGGAGGTTAAACCTCCCAGCCAGTTCTGTTCTTCCTGACTCCCAGAATGCCGGCTAACACTTGGTTGTAACTTTGTAAGGGAAGCAGTCAAAGCCAGTTCCGGCTGAACAAATGACTGCTGTTCTACAACTTTCCAGCACAAACCAAACTCCCAATGAAGTCACTGGATGTCACCTCCCTTCCCACAAAAGGCCACTCATGAAAATCCTCTTCTCTTCAGAGGAGAGACTGAAGGAATTCCTAAAAAAGGGTGCCTGACCCACTAGCTTCCTCACGTCTTACCTGTAAATTATCAGTTTCTAGAATGAATATCCCATATGCACACTGTATACTTTTAATGTACTTCACTTTCCTTCAAAACAGGGTAACCATGTCAAGATCTCAATACTTTCAACTATTTTAATGTGGTTGAAAGTGGCAATTGAAACCAATTTTGAATACGTGGTGTATGACCTTATTTGATAAGAGTTCTTTGATCTTTTTCCATGCTTGGCATTTTCAGATTTTCAAATAATTTCTAAAATGCATCTTACATATTTCTTTAGTTACTGACACTTTAACACCTGCTTGGAACATATCAGAAACACACTATCAAAAACTTTGACAGAAGCCACGTAGACACTGCATTCAGAAGGAAAGGGAAATAGTGCTGCTACCCCCAAATTAGGTTTTCTGCTGCCCCATTACACACACACACACACACACACACACACACACACGGGGAAGGGAGAGAAAGAGAGAGAGAGAGAGAGAGAAACACTGTAATAAAGTTGCATGTCACGGCCAAATTTCATGCTGACCTCAACTCTGAGTATTAGTATTATCTACCATGGGAGGGGAGGGTGTATTTTGAATTATATATATTCTTACCGATCACTACTCAAGACAGCTTTAATATCCATTTGCCAACCTTTAAATCACACATGTTCTCCAGATTTTCACTATATATTATGCCATACACATAGAAATGCTACATTTTCTATCCCAGAGAACTCAAGTAGGCACTTTAGAAACAGTCACATTGACTCACATTCCTCATGGAGGAGGAACCATGCGATCAAAGAGCACTGCCCGCTGAACAAGTAGGAGGCCTTAGGAGGCTGCTTTCATGAAAATGTTAGTACTATTTCCATAATACACTGTTTGTTACATAGTCAGACCTTAACATTCAAAACTTTGTCTTATTAACACTTCCTTCACTGTTACCAAAACGACAAAGATTTTGAAGCTAATTATGGTATCACCTACACATACGTACAGCCATCCTTGCACTCTAGACAAAAATCTTTCATCATCTAGACATAATGCATAAACATATAACCTCACATTTATATCCTGGCCCTTTCTCCTTTGATCTTTCCTTCCTAATTTTCCCTTACTCCTAGATAGTTTGTTAGAGACTAAGTAAGTATAAGATCATTTGGAAATAAAAGAAAACTGAATTGAACTCTAGCATGCCTTCACTAAAAAGCACTGAGTAAATACATTTTCCAAGTTTTTGCTAGAACTCTTTTAACTGTTCACACACCCCCTCATCCAAAGTATTATCTATGAGTAAGCGTCACTCGATGGAAAGATCTTCCTATATACCCATGCCCTGCACCAAAATATTTTTAAATTAATTAGAAATTTAGGTAATGCTTATATTTCCATGGAGCTGTGATTACATTCCAAAGCTAGAATTAAAGAGACTACACTGAAACTTAAACGCTAACATTTATCATCTTTTTAGGCCCAGTGCCCTAGTGACAGTAACGATAAAACTAATAATTTATTCAAATGCTCCCACTTAATAGCTTTGTTTCATCTCCAAACACAAAGAATGTCATGAAGTCCCATAACTGCCTCTCAGCTGCTGACATGGATGCATTTTAGACAAAATACTCTCTTCCCTATTCGCATCAATTCCTGAGGTTGTGTTTGCTCTCCTGTCTCAACAGTTCCACGCATGCAGAATCGTGTCATCGGGTGTAAGATCCACCAAAAAATGAGAGCGAATCCTTACACATAAGCTATTCTATGCCATAAAGGACAATGCAACAGGATCTGTAATATTAACAGTTTATTCAAAACTGAATACTCCTTTTCATAAACATAAATGGGCATATTTTATAGTGAAGTATTATGTTGCCTATATTTAACTTCAAAAAGCCGACTTTGTAATGAAGACCAGATGACAGTAGGTGTTCTTAATCTGAGGTCATTGGGGGGTCCAGAGATTGGTCTTCAGGAAAACTGACTCTCTTGAAATGATAGTAAAATGCATACACACACACAGTATATATTAATACATACAAGCACACACTACATGATGTTTCCATCAACGACAGACCACATGTACCATGATGGTTTACATGGGCTAGTGACATCATAGCCCCCTTAGTCTAAGTAGGCTGTAGGATGTTCACACATTGATAAAGAGCACCTAACAACATGTGTGTCTCAGGACTTACGCTGTGGCACCTGACTCCACATCACATGGATGCATTTTTGAAGCAGAGACAGTCCACAGCTTTGATCAGCTTCTTAAAAGGATCTGTCTCCCAGAGAAAAGTTAAGAACCGCTGGTTTTGATGGATTTTGTGTTTTCACAAAACTTCTTTAAGTTAAGCTCATGCTCCTCCCTCCACTATCTTTGCCCCGAAATACCTGAAATATTTAACATCTAAACACTTTTCCCCCCTTGGAAAAAGCAGCTCTCCTTTTTTTTCTAGTGTCACTTTTCAGTAATCTGAAGAACTTGTCTTTTTTTAACAACTACATTGAGAATGTCCTTTCCTAATTCTTAAATAGGTCTTAAATGTGGTCATACATGTATGACGATCAGGTTCTGAATAAAAACGCTCGTCAGAGGGAGCATTTTTATGTCACATACCTGAGATCTCTGAATGTAAACCATTAACAGATGTCCAACAAAGACAGTCTGTTAAGTTAAAAATGCAAGCTTTCTGAGGACAGGATTTGTGTGTGTTGTTAACTGTGGTCCAACAGTCCCAGAATGTGACAGGTGCAGGATAAAAATATCTGCTGAGTAAACAGAAAGGTCTTTAGTGTTTAAAGAAAATAAACCTAATTTTTGTAGAGCTCCACAGTCTAGATGAAATATCACAGTTCACTCACACCTTTCGGTCAGGGCTCTAGTCTTTAAAAGCTCCCGTGGTGAGACTGGTACTGAATATTTTCTGCGCAAAATCATTCAGCATTTTCATTTTTGTCACTTTTGAGAGGTAAAGGGAAAAATTTTTTTTCTCGAATTTTCTAGGCACTAAATAGTTTCTGGCATCAGTAACCTAAAGGAAAATACATGGGTATTTCCCACCGTGATTGGTGTTGGTTCAGAGTATCCAAGTTCAGCAGGGACCGTGCAACGCACACTTTAAGACTGGTCACTGGATTTAGTTCTCAGCCACCTTTGACTTACTCTTCAAAACTGGATTGCATTTTTAATGTTCAGAATAAGTTAATCCCCAGCGATAACCACAATGGAAGAATCAGGAGCAGATGGGCAACCTAACAACATGTTCAAATGCACAAAAGCAAAGACAGCTGCGGATGCAGATGGATCACTGTGGAAGGACGCTCCTGAAAGGTCGGGGAACAGGCAGCAGAGAAACGCACCGCGGGCAAAAGAGCTGCGATTGCACGCATTAGCCAAGAAAAAGAGAATCAACCGGGGCACCTGACCTAGATGCTCCCAAGGGGAAGAGGGCCGGCTAGAGCAGGCTCACGGAACCCCTGGGAAAACAGCATCTGAACACGCTGACCCGGGCACTGGTGAGGCCAGTAATTTCGGACGGGGCTTTTCATACTAGTTCAGAATGACAAGCAAGGAATAGTAACAAAAATCGAGGCAGGGTGCGGACGGCCAGGGAAAAGGCAGCCAGCCCACACGCGATTGCAGAGGTCCGAGTGGCCAGGGCGTTCCGGGGTGGGATCCCGGGAAGGATGTGAGGCGGCTCTGCCTGCTGGAGTCGGAAGGAAGAAGTTGATGGAGTTGGAGGGAACAAATCCAAAGCCCCCTGCCCCGCCCCGGTGTCGTCCTCATCGGCGCGCCGAGACACACAAACACACAAACACACACACACACACACACACACACACTATACCCTCGGCCCCGGCAGTTACACAACCTCCGTGCTGCTTGTGCTGCGAAATCCCGGGCGAAAAGCGAAGTTAGCGTCCCGCTAGCTGCACCGGGGCAAAGCCCCTAGACCCGGCCAGAAGCCCGAGATTTTAGCGGCCCCCAAGGGTCGGAGGCGTGGTTCCCGGCTTCGCGCCACGCTCAGCGCCCCGAGCCGCGGTCCTTGGGCACCTGCGTCCAGGTGACCCAAGGCCATGGTCTGCCGAGCCCCGCACGCCGACCGCGCAGCCCGAGTTTCGCCGCTACCCCCTCCACCCCACCCTCGCCTACACCGCACGCTCCCAAATCAAGCGCAAAGTTGAAAAGTCGAGGGAGCACCGAAACGGTCCTCCGAGAACTGTCGCCGGCGCTCCGCCAGCGGCCCCTCGGGGAGAGCCCCGGCCGGCCGGACAAAGGCGCTCCGGGTGGCGCGCGAGGAGGAGCCCCGGCGGCGAAGGAAGCGCTGCTCCGGCTGGGAAGCAGCTGGGGACCTCATCCCGGGCCATTTCCTGAACGGAACCCGGCCCGGGCGGGGGGGAGCAGAGGAGCAACGGGAGGGGGGTGGGCGCGGGCGCGGTACCCACCGGTTCCTCCCAGGCTGGGCTGCGGGTGCCAGGCGCGGGGCGCACGTGCTGCTGCTCCATCGCGCCGGCCCGCGCCCGCCGGCCGCCGGGACGCACGGACCCGGGCCGCCGCCGCTGGATGCGCTTCCCTCGCCGCGGTCCCTCTCGGCCGCCGCCGCCGCCGCCGCCGCCGCCGCCGCCGCCCTGGCTCCCGCCCGGGCCAGCCGCCGGCCCTCCCGCCGTCTCCCGCTTCCGCCGCGCCGGGCTCTCCCGCCCCCGCGCCGGTCCCTTCCTCCTCCTCCTCCGCCGCCGCCGCCGCCGCCTCCTTCTCCTCAGCGGTCCCGCTCCCCTTGCGCGGCTACGAACGGTCCGCTCCCCGCCGCCGCCTCCCACGGCCACAGAATCCGCCCCTCGCTCCTTCCCCCGCCCCCGACTCCCTCCCCTTTTCCTCCCCGCTTCCCGCCCCTCCTCCCGCCGCCCCCTCCTCCCGGCGGGCGGCCCGGGACGCACGTGACCCCCCTGTCAGGCCTTATAAGGCGCGCAACCGAAAGCGGCCGCGGGGTGGTCGCCGGTACTCCGGCGGGCGGCTGGCGAGGAACGGCCTCCGGGCGGGCTAGGCGCCCGCCGCGCCGCCGAGGTGGCCGCGAGTCCCGGGAGACGTCCCCCTGCGCCCCTCTCCGCGTCTCGCCGCCTAGGCGCACACGCTGGTTGCCCGCTAGGCGCCCGGGCTTGAACGAAACCACACGGGACAGGAACCCGCTTCGCGGCAGAGCCAGGGAGGTGCTGGCGCGCCCACGCGCGGGAAGGCGCTGCTCCGGGCTGGGCTGGCTCTCAGACGTGGAGGAAGATTTGCCGCTGGGTTTCGGTCTGCGCGAGAGGCGCCGCTCGGCCGACTGCTGCTTTAACTCCTGTGTAGGGCTGGACGGTGTCGTGGGAAGGACGCGGCTCGGGAGCCACCGCGGGGCAAGTGCCCACTCGCCTGGCCGGCCCTTTGGAAAATCAGCCTTTCGGGCCATCTTCGTGGCGTCGGAGACGGCTGGGGTCTGGTTCCAACCCGCGGGAGGCTGGCTGAACTCAGGCGGTCCCCTCTGCGGGCAGTGTCTCACGGCTCATAGTCACACCCAGGGCCTACGCACAGTTTAAAAACGCACACGGAAAATCGGGAAACCTGACCTGACCCAGGCTGCCCTGCCCCCGCCCACCTCACACTTCAGAGCCCCGCAGAGGGACTTCTGAGCCTGTTAGCCCGCCTGGTGGCTGTGGAAGTTACCTACCTGGTAAGCCTCACCTTCCTCCACCTGGCTGCAGCATTTGTCCCTGCTTCCGTCGGTCTCCAGGGTGTCCGGTCATTTCTCTCCTGCCCGCCTCTTAGAGGTTGGGGTACCCCTCCTCCACCCTAATCTGCCCTTGGCGTCTTTCCAAGGCGGCATGGGCCCAGTGAGTGGCCTGCCCAGGCTCTCCCCTCGCTAGACTAAAGCGTCCTACCACGAGCTGGTAACGCACATGTCAATCCCCTGTCCCGGGTCTCCAGTTCGGGAAAGCCAGCTAAGCAGACATCCCAGTCCAGGAGTTCCATAGGCCTTAAACTAGACCTAACTGAACCGGAAGTTAAATTTCCTGACAACTGGGTTTTCTCTGTGGCCTCATTCACAGTGAATGTCACCGCGGCTCACTGAGCCGCTCAAAGAAGAAACCTGAAAATTATCCAGGCCCCTCCTTTTGTCTCCCCTGCCCTCCCCTCCCTCCCCACTCACCCGTGCCCGCATTGTTCCCTCCCTAGTGCCTGGTTTTGAGTTCCTTGTTTTGAGCCCCTGAAACTTTGACTTTCCTCGTTAGTCTTGCTGCTTCTAAGCTGCTCTTGCCTCCACCCTGTCAGCTCTCCTATAGTGACCACAGTCAGCCCTGTCAAATAGAAAACTGAGGCGGTCTTTCCCCTGTAAGCCCTTATACAAGAGGCCCGAGACAGACTCCTCAGCCCTTCTGTGACGTTCAAGGCAGAAGGTGATCTGTGTGCCAGGTGCCAGATCGCTAGAGCCTTGGTCTTCCCAGCTTCCAGAACCACAAAATACAGATTTCTGTGGTGTAGAGGCCACTCACTGTTGTAGCATGATGGCCGTCCAAATGCACTCAGCACCTCCATGGTCTTGTCACCTTAAATCCTATTTTGCAAGTGATTTCCCAGTATATCTCTTGATCCCTTTATTTTCAAACATCCTGAGTCATGTGTTTTAAGTACACCCTATAAATAACAAGTTGAGTGTTGATATAACTGACCCATTTTGTAATCGATTTTAATCGGTTTTCAATCTCGTGTGTGTGTGTTGTGTGTGTGTATTAATTTGGGTAAAATGTTGGAATAAGAAAGTCTTCTCCCTGCCTTCCTACATAGAATGCTTATTTCCCATGGGACTGTGCCGGGCTTAAGGGGGCCAGGTTGTTGAGCAGTGGCTCTCTCAGTCCACATTGCTGTTTCATCCCTTAGGCAGGGGTGGGGAACGTCCAGCCCATGGGCCAACAAGATCCATGAAATCATTTGGTCTGGTCCTGCCATAATCATTGTGGGCATTTGAGGAGTGAACCAGTGGATGGAAAAGCTCTCTCTTTTGTCTTTCTGTCTCTCTGTGTATATCTCTCTGCCTTTCAAATAAAACAAAAGTTTAAAAACCATATTTTAGTGAAAATTAGCTGTAATATTATGATCACTATTTTTGGACTTATTACCTGCCTCTCGTTTTGCATTTATTTAAATTTCTTTTCCCTTGTCTTTGCCCCCCTCCCTTTTGTCTTATAATCTAATGATTAAATATAATGAATTTTTAAAGTTGATTCTTTTTTCTAAACACATCCACTGAATTGAAGGTTATACCTCTGGGGTAGGCATTAGGGCACAGCGGGTAAAGCCACTGCCTGTGACTCCAGCATCCCATATGGGCTCTGGTTCAAGTCCTGACTGCTCCACTTCCAGCCCAGATCCCTGCTAACAGTCTGGAAAAGGTAGCAGAAGATGGCCTAAATACTTGGGTCCCTGCCACCCACATGGGAGACCCAGATGAAATTCTTGGCACCTGACTTCAGCCTGGCTCAGCCCCAGCCATTGTGGCCATCTGCGGAATGAACAAGCAGATCAAAGATCTCTCTCTCTCTCTCTCGATGTACAATTTGGGACATGCTCAGGCTGACTTGCCCCAAATGGTAGAATTAGAAACATACCAGGGGACTCCAATTCAATCCCATCAAGGTGGCATGTACCAATGCCATCTCACTAGTCCAAGTGATCAATTTCAGTTCACAATTGATCATAATGAAAGGACTAAGAGTCAAAGGGATCACATAAACAAGTCTAGTACTGCTAATACTAATCGATAGAATAAATAAGGGGAGAGTGATCTAACATGGGAAGCGAGATACTTCAGCAGACTTCATAGAATGGCGGATGTCCTAAACAGCACTCTGGCCTCAGAATCAGCCCTAAAGGCATTCGGATCTGGCTGAAAAGCCCATGAGAGTATTTCAGGCATGGAAAGCCAAGACACTCTAGCAAAAAAAAAAAAAAAAAAAAAAAAACCTAAATGAAAGATCTCTGTGAGATCCCAGTGGAAAGAACAGGTCTTCAAAGAAGGAGGTACCTTTCTCTGAAGGGAGGAGAGAACCTCCACTTTGACTATGACCTTGTCTAAACAAGATAAGAGTCGGAGAACTCAAGGGGCTTCCATAGTCTTGGAAACTCATGACTGGAGCATGGGGAGATTACTGAGGCCATAAACAAGAGTGTCAATTTGTAAAGTCAAGAACAGGAGTCACTGTGCACTTACTCCTCATGTGGGATCTCTGTCCTTAATGTGCTGTACATTGAGACTTAATGCTATAACGAGTACTCAAACAGTATATTTCACTTTGTGTTTCTATGGGGGTGCAAACTGTTGAAAGCTTTACTTAATGTATACTAAATTGATCTTCTGTAAAAAAAAAAAAAGAAAGAAAAAGAAGAAATTATCAATTCCCAACTTGACTCTCACTGGGATTAAACATGACAATAGGTCTGATCTGATTTCATCATCATTTGAAAAATCATCTATTATTTTTCACTTTATGTTTCTGTGTGGGAGCAAACTGTTGAAATCTTTACTTAATGTATGCTAAACTGATCTTCTGTATATAAAGAGAATCGAAAATGAATCTTGATGTGAATGGAAGGGGAGAGGGAGTGGGAGAGGGGAGGGTTGCGGGTGGGAGGGATGTTATGGGGGGGAAGCCATTGTAATCCATAAGCCGTACTTTGGAAATTTATATTCATTAAATAAAAGCTAAAAAAAAATCTCTCTCTCTCTCTCTCTCTCTCTCTCTCTCTGCTTTTTTCAATCTCTCTGTTTCTCTCACTCTCTCTGTAACTTTCAAATAAATAAATATTAAACAATAATATAAAAATATAGTTATACTTATATTTCAATTCTTACTGGTGACCCTTAAAATATTCACACTTATAGGTAACATCCAAAGTTAATCAACATCTATCTTCTCCTATGAGATAATATTAAATAAAAACATTAACCCTTAAGTTCCTTTCTTATAAACTATGCCTTGTTATCTTTTACTATTAATTATCATTTGTTAAAAATTCTCAACTAAATTAGTCATCATTTTTGCTACTTTCATAGTTATTAACTAATTAT